TGGCGGAAAGTGACTGTACTGTATGATGGCGAAAGTGACTGTACTGTATGATGATGGAGGTGACTGTACTGTATGATGGCGGAAGTGACTGTACTGTATGATGGCAGAAGTTACTGTACTGTATGATGGCAAAGTGACTGTAGTGTGTGACAGCGGAAGTGACTGTACTGTATGATGGCGAAAGTGACTGTCCTGTATGATGGTGGAAGTGACTGTACTGTATTATGACGGAGGTGACTAATTGACTCCTATACCGACGTTTATATCGATCGTTTTGAATAATTACATGCGTGTACAGTAAAACTTCAATTAGAAGAATTTAGAAGAATTTGAACCCACCACGCTCGGATCCGCAGGCAAGCGTCTAGTCGCTACATAATGGCGGCTCCCTGATAACATGGACTGGGGTTTGTCTTTAAGTCAGAGCCTATATTAAAAGCGCCCTTTAAAAAAATCCTGTGTGTAATCACTTGTATTGTCTGTTTTCTTATACGGATGTGAGGACTGCACTCTCATTGTGGAAACTGAAAAGATGGTTCAGGCTTTAATTCTATAGACAAATTCTACGAATTAGTTACTTAGAACATTAAATAAACAAATATGTAACAGACCACATTTACAGATTGACAGGACATTAGAGCCTCTCTTGGCAGTGGCGAAACGTCGCGAGCTGGCTTCGTTCGTGCACGTGGTGAGACATGATTCGATTGCAAAGACTGTGCTTTGAGGAGCATTGGGGGTAGACAACATTGAGAAATGGACACGGCTAGGTTATAAACCTGTTCATTAACGAACTGCCTGGGAGCTCGTAGCGAAAACTAATGGGAAATCTTTAGTGAAAGACAGCCTCGCACACGATACCACATTTAGCATGAGAATGGAGGTGGAGGCGGTAATTGCAGCTTTCCGGTGGCTAAAGAACAAGATGCATACGCATGTCGTAATTAAGCATTCCGATAAAAGTAAAGACAGGGATGCTTCGAGCAGAGTGGCAAGCTTCACTGGAAAGCTCACGAGTAGTGAGCATCCTTTGGAACTTGTCTTCAGGCTTATGCTGGTGTGGTGGGTAATGAACAGGCAGACATATTGGCTGGATCCGCACCACTGGGTGGTGAATTGATACATGGCAATGCAGATGTGGTCAAGACCCTTTGAGAACAAGCAGCGGATCAGTAGAGGTAGAAAATTATTAAGGCCTGGAGAGAATGAGGCATTTGGTTGTAACCAGAGGGTCTGGCCGGCTCAATCCACTCAGAGGAAAGGCAAGACGGACATATAACCAGATTGTTACCACTACCACCAGTACTGGAACTCTGCGCTGGCTGCTGAAGATGAGGACGGAGCATGCATGAGAATGCTTCGAGTGCTGTGATGTCAATTCTTGACTCAACTCGACTCAACACTGGTTCATCAAGCGGAAGACATAGAAAGATGGTGGATTTTTAATGTTAGTACTTTCGTCGATACATCTCCATGACCCTAACAGGTCAAGGGTTATGTTACATACATGTATATCTCCGGTGACGGAGGGCGATAACTACCCGGTGCGGAGAATTTACAATCAACCTAGTGGCATTGCAAGCAAAGTTATGTGGAATATTCGCTGTCACCTCCTCACCCCCTTTTTTTAACACGCACACAAACACCCACACAACCACGCATATATATTATAGATGTGTGTGTATGTGTGTGTATACACACACACACACACACACACACACACACACACACACACACACAGAGAGAGTCTACACTGAGAAAACATTGTCAGCTAACACACATACAGACACAGACAAACACAGAACATGTTCCTCTCGTTAAAATAAAACTCACTTTGTTTACCGACCAGAAGTGTGATGCACATTTAGGGTCAAAGTTTAGGTTTGTATATCTTCACGAGGTTACATAGCGTCTTGGGAAGTGTGCGAAGGAATGAGAAAGGTCAAGCGAAATTATGCTACAGGTGACAAAAGGGGTCGTTTTTGTTGATGATTGACACCTACACTAGACAAAGAGTTAGACTAGATTTCCGAGAACATGAAATACTCCCGTGAAGGGGTATCATCAACTTCTATATTTGTCGTTAAGAGTTGTGGGAGAAACCATTTGCAGTCCCGCGCTCTATGGGTAGCACTGGCTTTTGTCATTCCGTGCGGAGGTAGAATGTCTTTTATGTCACCAACTAGTCTTCTTATGACCTCTGATGCTCCGATATTTTTAGGTATAGCGTCTGTGTTTGTAGTAGTTTGGGCTGTATTACGAGAGGACAGAATTATGAGACCTTTTTCTACTCAATTAATTTAGTGCAAGGTGCTGTGGACGTCTTGCTATGAAAAACTGGACAGGATGCCAAAAGTCGTTAGCATGTCTAGCTTGGGGAATTGTTTGGTTTGGTTAGTTTTGAGGGCTTCCTTCAAGTCGAAGTGCATCTGCTTGAGAGGAAAGAACCAACAGTCGCATACAAAATTCAGATTTGTTAGAATGATGTGGATGCAACACTCAGGTTGTGGAACAAGACTAAAGCCCAGAGATGGAAAGACATGTAGAACTCTTCGCCAGATTTAACAGTCGGTTACCTCAAAGAAAAACACAAGAGAATGATTCAGTTCCAGTTGGTAAAACTTGTGTACTTTTACCGAGCGACAAGCCTCCGCCACATTATCCTCTTATTCCTCTGCTTTTTTTCTGCCTTTGCACTTACACGGCAGTTGGCACATTGTGTGTAGTTTACAGCTAGGCTGCGATATCGGCGCCTATCTATCAATCACGTCCGACTTTAGCAAACCGTTGAATAATCGCCTTTTACAACATGTTCCTTAGGGTGGACAGTGAATTGTTGTCCAACACGTGGGGGTCACACGGCAAGATAGTCAGTCAACTTTCATGGGGCAGCCGCGCGGACTTTTAGTCAGACTGGAGCTGGCACTGTGAGCCGTCGCTGGCTACTGAGAAAGGCGACAGATCACTGTCTGGAGTGCAACGATGTCACGAACGGGGTGGGGGGGTGGGGGGGGGGGGGGGGGTCAGCGGCATACAACCACTGATGGCCAGGTCAATTACCTTACCCAGCCTGGACTAATATTTTTAGAGGCAGGGTCAGTGCATTATCAGATTGTTGCATAACGTAATAGACATACATGCAATTTTGAGGTCTCCTTCCCCTCTTTTTCTTCTTCTTCTTCCTTCTTCTGGCCATCCCACCGCTTCCTTTTCTTTTTCTTTTTTTTTTTCTTCTCCTTCTTTTGCTGCTGCTATTCGTACTACTACTATTAGTACTACATCTCCTCCGCCTCAAGAGTTATATTCCCCAACCAGTAAACGACAATGAACTTTCTAAATATGTTCACGATTGATTGGATTTGCAGCAAACGTTTACGTATGGGTTAGGTAGGTTCTTACCAACTGTTCTTGGTCGCCTATTACGACACGCATGGTAAGTTACAGTACTAAAATTCTTCATGACGGGCTTATTAACTGGCGGACGAAATAGCAGAATCAGTGATAATGGAAATATATTGTTGGACTAGCAACACTATATTGTGGCTATGTCTGTTGACGCCGGATACTATTGCATTAGTAAGTTTAGATCAGTGTTTCCTAACCTTTTTTGTACGATACCCCATCTAAGGCCCTCTAGAATTCTCCCCCTTCCCCCACCGCTCCCCCGCCCCCATGTAACTTAAACTGGGGACGAGTCCATTTTCGAACTGCGCCCTTAGCAATCAGACGCTTCCCTCCTCCTTTTTTTTTTACAGTAAACTTGTCCACACTCCCCCTCCACAACCCATGGGGCGGGGACCCTGCGTTGGGAAACACTAGAGGGTTGTACATATTCACACTGAAAAATGTTGAATATACAGCATCCAACCAATTCACTGGCTAGTTTTTTCCATGTATCCGCTTAGGATTCTCAAAGTTACACAGTACTTCAATGACCAGAGCTCTTTTTTTTTCCCCTGATTGAAAAAGAAAAAAAAAATGCCCGTACTCATCACATCAAATCTTAACAAGATACCGGTAGTAACTGGGTAAATTCTACTGGGTTCCCCCATTTGGGTCAGCTCCGCCCATTTGCGCACTTGGTCACTTTTCATTGATATTTTGTTATGCTCGTCAACTTTGCTCAAGGTTTTGGGGGTGTCCCGGTGTACCGTTAGCCCGAAAAGCTTTCTGCGTTCTCTACATAGATATCACGTTGATATCGCGTGTTGTATATTCCAGGATGTCAGCGCTTTTAACACTCCAAAAACATGCAGAACTGTCCCTAACACAACCCCCCCCCCTCCCCCTTTTCTACGAGAGTGCTGCAACCTACGTCACACGCATTCTCTTTCATGGAATGTAAACGTAAACAAAAGACAACGCAGAAAGCTTTTCGAGCAAACAGTACACCCGGACACCTCTGTATCCTTGAGCAAAGTTGACGAGCCTGAGCAAACACCAATCAAAAGTGACCAAGTATGTAAATGGGCGAAGTAGACTCAAATGGGGAGAACTTTGTAACATCTGACTGGATACATAATCATCCACACTAGACGTTTCTAGATAAACTACAGTTACTGAATGGTTGCGGCTAATTTTCTACTGTGCGTGTGGCTTAAAGATGAGCGAATGTGATAAACAATTTCCAATGACCTCCCCCCCCCCCCCCTTTCCCCCCCCCCCCCCCCAAAAAAAAAAGAACAAATCCCGTACTCAGCACAGCATATTTTTTAACAAAGTACCAATACTAACTACACAAGTGTCCTTGGATAAATGATGCGTTAAAAAAAAGGTAGCGTTACTTTATAAGAGGAGGGGGTAAAACCCGTGCAATTGACACTCTAGATGTGGCTTTAAGGTTACTGATGCGGTTAACAATTCATTGCCAACACTATGCTATCAGTGTCAGACATGGACACTTACATCATCTAATGAACGTAAGATTGTGACAGTAGAGATAAAATGCCTTAGAAGAGCTGCAGGAGTTTCAAGGAAAGATAGAATACGAAATCAGGAATAAAGCTAGTCTTACAGGTCATTAAAGAACAACAAATGAAGTGGTTTGGACACCTAACAAGAATGCCCTTGTACTATCTGCCACAGCGAGCCACGCTAAAACGTTACAACGGGTATAGAGCAAGTGGAAGACCTCGGAAAATGTGGAGTGATGGCATTAAGAACAGGGTTACATAAATGAATATCAGTCTTAATAGTGCTTTTGGCAGAGCTCATCAACGAACGTTACATCTCCCCCGCCACTTCGCTGAGGTACAAGGTGGAAGAAGAAGAAGAAGAACAAAGTGGAAGAAGAAGAAGAAGAAGAAGAAGAAGAAGAAGAAGAAGAAGAAGAAGAAGAAGAAGAAGAAGAAGAAGAAGAAGAAGAAGAAGAAGAAGAAGAAGAAGAACTCGAGGATAAGAATCGCATAGCTTCAAATCCTTGAAACGCCGTTCAATCATTTAGCCATATAGCACAGTTATATAAAGGCAGCACAAAACACCCACGAAGCAACGTGTAGTCCAGTATGGGTGCGTTCTAGTAATACTCCCAAAGACGGCAGTGATTTACTGAAACCAACCTTCAGTGCGGAGACGACACATACTTTTTTTTAAAATTCTGTTGCAGCTATATAACATTTACTAAATGAATTAGGCTAATCTCTAACCTCGTTACTTATAAATAAACAACACTCAAACAACACTTACTGATGGTTGTATGGAATTATCCACTCTGGATTCCGTTGCACAAACAACACTCTTTGGATGGTTGTACTAATCCCATGAAAGCCAAGACACAGTCGAGGATTAAGTGCGACGGTAGCCACAGGTCTCGCAGTCCGGTCGCTTTGACATCCCAAGGGTTGGCCTCCAGGCTCCGCCCACTTGTCTGTCTAAGTGCGGTTTTTGGCAACCCGGGGGTGGGTGGATTTGAGAAGGGGTGTGATGTATGTGGTGACAGATTTGTGGGGGAGGAGTAAGCGAAAGTGAATGAAAGATTGGGTTTTCTTTTTAAGGCAGATT